TAGGATTATAACAAATTCCATTGACCTTGGCTCAGGTGTAAGGGTCAGAGCGAGGCCAAAACCAGCCTGATCATTTTTAGTGGAGAGCTTTTTGAACCTTTTTGATAACAGTGACGGCAACAGACGTCTCCTTTGAACGTTTTAAAGATCAAAAGAAGTGACTGACCAGATATAACCCAGATCAACCTCTTGATGCTAGGAGCACTCCACGCAGTGCAATCCTTGACGCTTAATTAAAGCCATCCTGTAGGATTTTGCGACCATGACCTTCCAAAGAGCAAACAACGTCATCGAACTGAAAACCCGATGTCTGTAGACCGCCTGCCTTCCGATTCACCCACCCGTGGCGGGGTGTGTCTGGGCCGCTTTAGGCGCTCGCCATCAGGCGTAGCCCGCGGCCGGTGGCAACGACCGCAATAAAGGTCAGATGACGTCAGAGGGCAGCACGGACCGTGCCGAGTATTGCGACACGTTAAGATTTCGCCACCAAATTCCGCCGTTGACACCGAATTGCGCGATCGGATGGTAGGGGTCAGGACGTACACAACAAGCATTGCTTAGCGTAATCCCGGAAATCCTTCCATTTAAAATGTTCAGATTGATGTTTCTGCTTAGAAGGCTCACGCACCTAGGTTAAAAGCGGTTGAATGAGGAGGCCTGGGGACACTTTGTGTACTATTCTTAAGTTTGCCTTGTTTTGTTGGAAACGTAGAGCTTGTCGTTGGAGTTTGCTGAAGGCCCGACTGTCCCCCCTCCCCCCAACCGAGTGCGTAGTATTCAACCGGCCACCAAGCGTGTGCGAGTGTTAGCCGCGGGACCGATACCACGCAACCTAGGCAGACTACAACGCCCGGCGTTTTTATATTTTTGAAGCTTGCGAGCGCACAGGTTCATAGCTTTCTTACGTAATTCTTCAGTAATAAATTCTGAGTGCATGTTACACACATCCAGGCGAACACGAGTTGTCAATGTCAATAGAAAATATTCACCTCATCTCGATCTGTAACGTGCGTTCATGGAGTTGTCAACATCTCTGTACAGAATACATGCAAATCCGTCAAAGTCCTTGAGTGGTATCTCTTCGAAAAGAGTTCATTTAGCCATTGAAAAATGAATAGCCACTAGGGATTATACCGTGCCGCCATTTCATGCCCGGTTCTTTCAGTCAACCGAATTCAAAATATGTACAGAATTGCAGCTTACGGTGATTTGTGACTTCCATTTACTTAAAAAAGGTGAAAATAATAATAAAACAAAGGACACCGCATCCCATCGAATTTAAGTGGACATCACCGGTGACTTTTTGGGGGGATTTTAGGGGATCCTCTGTTAACTTTGTCACTCTCATGAAGACTCACTTTGCGCCCGTGAATCTGGAATGTAGCTGACTGTAGCTGACTTGCCGCACCCGCTCAACACTTACACTAGGCACAGACCCATGGTCACGCGTCACCATGTCCACAGCATAAAGCATCGAGTTTCGTCAATACAGTGGATGCTGGCTTGATGACGTTGTTCAACACGCGCTTGCGTGGGGGATCAATTTGACCCCCCCCCCCCCTCCCGAAGGCTTCTCCGGAATGGTTTCCAAAATGCGCGGCGCACCCGCACCACACTTTGTGTATCTGTAGGTAACTGAGTAGCAGATCGTTTGGTATTAAAAATGTAGATATACCTTGTAAGGTCGCTGACCTACGGCAGGTCAAAGTCAGGTCATGGATTCAGTGAAGACATTTTCCCTTGAATTGTTCAATCTAATGCAAAAACGGAGTGTTAGACGAAGACATGCATCTCTGAGATAGGCTCCTAGGGAACACAACAATTAAATGTACAACTTACATTGACCTAGGGTCAGGAAGGAAGGTCAGACCAGGATCAAAACCAACCTGTTTATTACTCTAGAGATAGCTGTCTGGGGTAGTTTCTGGTGCTAATCTCGAATTCATCGATAACAGAAACCGCATTATACATGTTCCATGGACCTCGTTAAGGCCAGGACAGATCATCGACATAAAATGACCAAGGTCAACATGACCAATGACCAAGGTCAACATTTGTTTTTCGAAACATTCTGCCTCGCGCAATCTATGACGCTTATTCAACTGCAAAACGTAAAACAGTCTTGTATGATTCTGGTCACCGTGACCCGTGAAAGATCAAACAAGGTCACTGACCCAAAATGAACATCATTGACCTGTTACTTAGGACGGGTATCCAGGTCCCGGGGTTACTTTGGACACCAATTTGGGGCTTGACATTGTTTGACTTTACTTGACCCGAAGTGCATGACCTAGGAGCCACAAATTTTGACGCGAGTGAGTTCACACGCAGGCCAACACACCCTGTGAATTTTGTGGTCTCTAGCTCTCTTGGTTTCTTAGATCTCAGGGGCGTAAATTGACGCCCACCACCCGAGCGAAGGGCATTCAACCGGCCACCCGGGTGCCTGTTCAACAGTACCTCCGGATGAGATGAGAGTTTGCTTTGTTCAGGATAAGGACCCATGACTCATTATGCCGAAATACCACTAGCTCACGGTCTGTCATGCTTTGATCAGTCAGAAATGTTTCATTGCGGAAGAGAGAGAGAAGGAGCGAAAGATTTCAGTAACACTCTTTGCTTTGGGTGTTTTACAGGTGCTCCGACAGCTATTCCACCTTGGCCTTCTGACCCGCGCAGTTGATCGAGGCATGAACCGTCATTGACGCAACAGCATTCCTGCTCGCCGCAGATGGCGAGATGGTTGGTACATAGACTCCAGTTGGGCCTAACGGGCCCATGATGGAATAGTGATGAAATAGAAAAAAATATTGTTCGGTACTGGGGCCCTGACTGACACAGCGCAATTATATTACCTCAATAAGAGCACTCATCACGGGTCTTTATGTTTCCTTCAATTGTCAGAGGTCCCCGACCAGCGCTAGAGGCCCTATGCCATTCGGGGTCCCGTCCCCGTCCCTGTTGAGCAAATCTTCCCATGGCCGATTCGAGGCTCCTTGTTGACACAAAATGTCCTGTTAGGGGATGTGGGCCCCTGGACGATGCATATTTACATGTGATATGTAATATGACTGGCCCGACCAATGCAAATCGCGGGTCCAGCCCTGTTCCTGCTTGGGAAATGAGCCCCCAGAGCTCAGACCAACACGGAGCCGACTGTTCGTTGTTCGTGGTCTCTGGCCGAAGTAGAGGAGCGGTCTGTCTCAGGGGTACCCCATGGGCGGGGGCCCCTCAAACACCTCTCCGAATCAGGGCCACTTGTCGCCACAGGACCCCTGCTCGGCAATGTGGCCCCTAACCGATACAGGAGCCTCGCGTTGTGTCAGGGACCCCAAACATTGCAAATCACGGACCCGGTCGTCGTTTCTGCTTGGGAAATCGGTCTCAAGGACTCAGAAGGAGATGGAGCCGACTGTCCGGTGTTCGTGGTCTCTGACCGACTTAAACACCTGCATTGTCTCAGGGGTTCCTCAAACAGTGCAAGAGGACCCCTGGCTGATATTTCAGGCCGTGACCCTACGGGCCGCGATTCTTTATGTGACCTATAGTCAGTTCTTCGGGTCGTTATGCCCTTCAAGCGGGCCTTTGATCGTCGGTTCCGGTGGGCCGCCCGGGACCCTCTTCGGGCTTCATTGCACACTTCCCTTGGTCGGCTCGGGGCCATTGCGAGCACAGGGCCCTCTATTAGACGTTGTAGGCCCCTGATAGACACAAGACCCCGACCAGTGTAAGTCACTGGCCCCGGCCTTATAGATGACTGAGAAGTGGGTCCTCAGGCCCATGCCGACACGGAGCCGACTTTGTGGAGCGGTGGTACTTGACCAGCAGATAGGCCCATATCGACTCAAGTTTCCCCGATCGGTGCAAAAGGCCCTCCTACCGTTACTTGAGGGTCCGTGTTCGCAGGTCGGGCCCCCGAATAAGGCTCCGACCAGCCCTTTATGCCCTTAGACCCTCAAATCGGGCCCTTGATCGTCGGACCCTCTAGGCTCTCTAGGCTCTTGGGGCCCGCTAGGCTCTTTGGGCCTCCTCCAACGCTGTCTCTGACCGACTCGGGGCCCCTTGACAGCACAGGGTGCCTATTAGGCGATGCGGGGCCCCAAACAATGTAAAACGCTGGTTCCGGCTTCTTCCCTGCCAGGTAAATGGGCACTTAGGCCGATACCACCACGGGGCCGACTGTGTGCTCCCAGTCGTGTCTGACCGAAATATAGGCCCTTATCTCTTCAGTGGACCCCCGATCAGAGCGCAGGGCCCTCTGGCTGGCATTGGAGTGCTCAGCCCTACGGACCGGGGCCCCTGCATGAGACATCCGGCTGGCATTTCGGGTCCTTTATTCTACGTTCCGACGAACCTTTCGGGCCCCTCAGAACCTAAGGAGAGCACGTGCCGGGCCGGGGCCCCTGAATGAGACCTCCGGCTGGCTTTTCGGGCCCTTAATGCCAGGCACCGACGGACCTTTCAGGTCCCTCGGAACCTAGCGTGAGTACGTACCCCCTGTGCTCCCCCCTCCGCCTGTGCTGTAGGTTTTGACCTCAAATGGCCCAAACGCACATATTTTCTACTGTGAGCGTGAAGGCAAACTACCGAAGGGATTTGGTAGTAGTAAGCAGCGGTAGAAAAAAAATTTGGCAGCCTATGAGCGCGCGTTATTTCTCCGTGGGGCTTGAGGACGCGTCGCGCGAGCGTAGGGGTGTCGGCGCGCGGTGTTGCGCGTGAGGTAATAGTATGGGGACTAGGGGGTTGGCGTGTACTGGCATTGATAATGCAGGAATATAGGTATCATTTAGAACGTAGTTTTGCAATGCGAGTCGGGAGGGAGCCCGAACAGGGAAAATAAGCTTCCTGCAACCAAAATACGCTAAGGCGAAGTTTTCCACGCATCGGGCTGAGTCTTCCCCAAGGTGGGGAAGACTCAGCCCGGGGACTCAGCCCAAGTCGGGGGAAGGGGGGGGGGGGGGGCACTGACCGATAGGTGCTACTGGGTTAGAGTTGTCTATTCCCCGCACGCGTGCCGTCTGTGAAACGTTCAGAGCTCATGATTTGTGGGGACAGGACAGGTGGTGGCCTTACATGAGATATGCAAACCTGGGGATAAGGCTTCATATTGGATTAGGGAGCTCTAGCTGCCTTGCAGACTTCGAGAAGACAGTTGGCCCCATTTGGTGAGGAACATGGTTTTGATGTATTTGGAAGGCACGGCTAGCTATTTTTCTGCGTAAATCACCCTTAGACTACCTTTGCATCGGGCCCTGCATGTTTGATGGATGTGCTAAAACCGACATTTTAAAATGGTTCATGTGTTGTCCAAAATTGAAATGATAGATTAGAAGTCTTCCTATGTCAGCCTTGTGCAGACATAATGTCTTGATGTTTTTATGTCCATTAATGTCACAATGTCTCCATGTGCTTAATGGCTGTGTTGTTCGGGTGTAACCTACCTCGCCCTTCCATGCTGTTGAAGTTTTTGTAGAATGTCAACATTTTCAGGTCTTATCTGTTGGTAACATCCACAACCTGGCAGACCTATGTCATTTTTTGCTGCAGGTTGTATATGCAAAGGATCACCATCCAGCACAATGTCAGACAAGACAACATCTGGAATTTTTAAGTATTTGTTTGACCAAAACCGCCCTTATAGTGTCACAGATATTCACATGAATCTTCACAAGGAATATGGGAAAACTGCTATTCAAAAAAGTTTAGACACATTAGTTGAGGTAAGTTTTCTGGTATTTTTCTTAACACCGGTGAGAAAGCCGTCATCTTTGAGGGTGTTCATGGCTTGAGTTACCTGGCTCATGTAAAAAGCTCAAGGTTTGCTGTATTCATCATTGTTTTGCTTTTGTTTTGACCATATCCAGGGCATGGCACAGTCCCTGTAATGTCAACAGGTTATGCACATGTTTCTGTTTGTACATGAAAATAGTATATATAAACAACAGATGAGCCTTCCATGCTTGTCTATCAGTGCTTGCTGATAGTTGAATGCTTCTACAGCACATCTAGTGCTGATGTTTGAGGAACATAGGCTACATTTGTTTGGAAACAACATTGGCTTTTAAATGTAAATGTAAACAACATTGACTCGGAACATTGGCTTTCAAAACTATTATATGCAATGAGTGTTGCTGTTGGCTGATTTCTTTGTCCTTCCAGGAAAGGAAAGTGCTGGAAAAAGTGTATGGAAAACAGAAGGTATATGTTGTAAATCAGGAGTTGCATCCCAAGGTGGAAGAATCTGAATTGCGAAGCATGGACGCAAGGCAAGTGTCATAAAGGATCGGGTCATGAAATGCATTTTGGAGCTCTCACTTGTACATGACATTCCGGACTACCGATAATGGTGGTCCTTGGAGTGCATGATGTAAGTCTTGGAGATTTGTGGGCACATGTAACTTAAGATAATTAGTCTCGAGAGCCATGGTGAAAATGACCGTTTTCTTTGGCAGGCTATGTGCACGGATTGTTCGATTGTAGGCTCCATTTGCTCACACATTGGTTAGGGTGAGTGCTGTAGCCGTTTGTCAGCGGCGTTACTTTATAACTTTTGGGTGCTGGATCCTCCAAAGATGTTAGGTTTTACCAGTAATACAATGATCTTAATGATGCATAGAAATATTGACAAAAATATCGAAATAGGTACAGGTAGAGCACCCCCCAATATTTTTGTTTTGAGGGGGAATCATACACCACTTGTCTGGGCTAGTCGTTATCTATATACATAGATGCGTGGCGTGGGGAAATAGTGGTTTTGTTTTACACAGACTGTTTATTTTATTTCTTCTCCACAGAATTGCACAGCTGACTTCAGAGCTAACTGGAGAAGGACTAGCATTGCGGGAAGCTGAGGGCAAGCTGAAAGCTCTAACCAGCAGCCTTACGTCAGCACAGGCCAAGCAGGCACTAGTGGAGGTAGCTGAAACGTTTTGTCTGATCTGGATGTTGGGTTGACAAGTTGTGCAAAGTTGCGTGACTGCTATTTCTGTGTGATGCAATTTAAATGTTAGAACAGCCCTTTCAGTTGAATCAGTGCGATTTAAATGTTAGAACAGCCCTTTCAGTTGAACCAGTGCACATCAGGATGTGTTAGCTGTGAACGTCACGCTGTACAGAGGACTTCTTGCAAGCTTTGTTTGACCGCTAGATAATTCATCTCGTTTGGCAAGCACCATGTCATCGTCCCATTTTGGGCGGAACTCTTACGAAGCCTGTTAGTCTGACCAGTCAAGACGACACGATTGACGAACAAACTATCAGCATTGTCCGGTCCTCCGTTTGAACCTCGCTTAATATTTCAGTGCGAGGACGACATCCGCGAGAAGACTGAGAAGTTAAGTCAGTTGAAAAAATTGTCCGGTAACGTAACAGCTGATGACAGACGGCGGGTGCAAGACCAACACCGGAAGTCGCTTGGGGAGTGGAGGAAGCGGAAACGCATTACCAACGACATCGTCGACGCCATCATGGAGGGCTATCCGAAGAAGAAAAAAGATCTGTACGAGGAGGTCGGTCTGGAAACAGATCAAGATGTGGGCGTTACACTGCCATCGTGAAGATGCAGCTGTGTGTGCTTGCAGGTACTAGCACACTGTTTCTGGAGTTTAAGCGTTGTTTTTGTGTTTGTGATAAATGATGAACTGTGAAATCGCCTTGAAATGTCAGCGTAGGTGCACGTTTTGCTGACGTTATATGTTCGAATGTGTGTTAAAATACATTTGTTACATTCTGCTATCATTTGTTCTCTTCCTAGTTCCGCGCAGTGTGTTTTCTAATTCGACCATCGCGGAACTAAATGGTTCGGTACCGGCCTCATGAAGGTCCAACTTGAGGAGTGGGTAAGCATTCCAGGCAACGCCGCAACCTTTTCTGGGAGGAGCGGAACGTTGCACGACGCACCGTCCATGCTCGCTTGCCGTGGACACGGTCACCCAGGTCTACAAGGTCGTTTACGTCGCAGATAGTCGCACCCCGCCCTTACCATCCAGGCTATGTATTACCTCTCACGTACGCCACGCTGGAGCCCCTGAACTGAACTGCAGTCTGAGCCGTGGTTTGATTGCGAGCATGGATGGGGCTTTGACCATGTGGGATCTCTCTCCCCCAGTTTAAATCATGTCATTATGAGGCTCGAATCGCTGAAACCCCCTTTTACCAGACACTGAAGCCGGTAACATGCTTACGGTTTAGCTCGATTTATACGCTTTGGGCCGTTCATGGCGTAACGTGGACGCAAACCGTTCCCAGCTGATTAGTGAACATATGCAAGTTTGGATGCTCCATTACAGCCACACTCGTGTTTGACTCAAATGTTGTCAAATGACTCAAATGATGTCAAACTATAAATAAATGAACATATTTGGCAACCTCCAGAATAGCTTTGACATTAAGAAGTGACCTCTGGTTTGAAGCCGATGTGATGGTGATAATGATGGTATATGATGGTGATATAACTAGTGGTGCGTTTAGGACCTCATGTACCAGTAACTAAAGCACTCGCTGTATTTCGCGGGCTGAGGGCATTGAGGGGACTCAAGTACGCATGAGGGGGGGGGGGGGAAGTCGGGGGCCCCAAAGGATAGAAAGTGACACAGCCCTGTATGTCCATGAGCATTTGACAATATCGCTCATCACCTTTATAACGTAACGATGGGCCAGACAAGCCAGATACCTCACGGAACGTCCACATAAATGTCTCCTGTCTGCAGCCGACACCCGTTCTGACGGCTTCGCGACACCAACATTTCACCCCCGCCCCCCCCCCCCCCCCCCCCCCATCTGCGACTGCCATCCGATGCTGTTCACATTCGCATTCAGCTGGCAGATAGAAGACGCATGGCTGGTATAACTGACCTAGCATTACCACCATATGTACCCTGAAGGTAATTCTGGACGCGACTGTAGCTCGTGCATCTCGCACGCCCGCTGTGGGCTTTGAATTAAAGCATGCGATACATATTTGTGATGAGATCGAGTATCCTGCGGCCTGCTGTCGCACTGCTCCAACCAGATCTTGTTGCGCTGATCTTCAGTGCCAATGTTCGCCAATCGGTTGACTTTCTTAAAGCCAGGGCTGATGACCACAGCTGCGAGATAAAGGACTGTGTCACTCAAAAATTTCGTTTATTTTCGAAATCAAGCCAGCTTGCCGATCGCCAGCAAACACCGAAACTTTGCGTACCGGCAATCAAAGAATGCACTTAAAGACAACTAATCCACGAGGTCTGTGTTTAACCACATCGAACGAACGAACTCAAAGGCTGCAAAGATCATGGGCTCAACATATAAAAATACCGACCACTATTTGGTGGAATGCTCACAACTCCACAACACACCAGATATAGCCCGTATGCACAACCCCATACACTGTTCACCTGTACCGTTTCTTATTGATCACAAAGCAGCACCTGCTAATTTAAAGCATCGCCATCAGAGCACAGCAAAATTTGACTAAGCAAGTGGGGAGGGTGACGTAACACACTTCCAACGCTAAAGTGCTGTCCTCAGAACCTCCAGAGGACTAGTAACTGTTGGTGCCGTTCACAACCGCTAGATGTCGGTCCACTACGCTGCCAGCGAAAGACGTCTACACGTCCAGCTTGGGAGGCAACTCGCCGTCGGCCACAATGGCATTGTAGGCCGGCGGCAGGTCCTTGACATTGGCGGACTTGGCATCCTCCGCGTGCTCGCCCACCAGGGAGTACTTGGGAGGCAGGTCCTCGGCGATCTCCTCGTGCTGGTAACAGCGAGCTACGGTCACAACAGAGGCACGACCACTTTGTTCTCTCTCCACGGACATTGCCTCTCCTGCCACAGAGGCTGGTGGCGTTCATGTTTCGTGATAATAAGCCTCTCTGTGCCTTGCCGCATCACACAACTACCTCCATTGGCCGGCCGTTTGCCGTCTGCCGATTTGCCCCCGCTGCCTTGACTTGTACCAGATAAGCGCCAGGTAGGAAATGCCGCCGAGTTTTCCCTTATACGCGAGCTTGACTCGCCCCCCCCCCCCCCCATGATAACCTACCAAGTCGTCTGGTGTATGCACTAAATCAAGAAAGACCCACGTAACGTTAAGTCATGTAACAGCTAAACAGCACAAACAAACAGCAACAGCTAAAGTTTCGCCTCGAAAGCGTCGAAGCATCCTGGCGCAAGAGCCCAGTTCCATCATTTTCCCCCACTCGGCACTCCTGAGCGGCGTGTCGCGGCCCAGCTGGGCGCGGCCGTACCTGGATGAGGGCGTCCTGCTGGCGGCGGCGGCGGCGGCGCACCACGCACACCAGGCAGTAGCAGGTGTACAGCACCAGCGCCGTGCCCAGCAGCAGCACGGCCAGCATCACGTAGTGGGGCGTGCAGCGCCAGACGCGACGCCAGCCGCTGGGCGCCGCACGCAGGCCCGGTGACACTGCCGGCGCGCACGGGCCCCGTTACGCCAGGTGGCCGGCGGCGCGGCACGTCACGAGCGAGCACGACGACAAGGTTCAGCCGGGGGCCGGAAGAGAGGTGACGCAGACCCCGGGAAACAACTGAGGCGGTGGCAGGGCACGGCTTGGCTGGAGGATGCAGCTGGTTACCCAATGCCAGAAAATTAACGCCGGATTCTGCCATCTCGCATGAAGGGCACGGACACCAGAAGTGCCGTCTGCGTCCTTAACACGAGTGTCCAGTTCCGCCGTACGCTGACTCCGCAGTGCAAGCCGCGGCAGCTCGGCGCCTCTTTGGAGCGGGGTCCGGGCGACCGATCGACTGGCTGGGTCTCATGCGGTATGAACCCACTTAGTTGTAGCGAATACACAGCCCGGGCCCGGGCCCACAGCCCGGGCAAGGTAACCTCAATATACGGTTCGACAGGTCTCAGTGCAGTCTCTGGGTGATCTCCGAGTCTCCGAGTGATCAGTCGGAACAGATGGTGAATTCAACTCCAGCGACGTTTTCCGGGGCGCTCCACCGGAAGCGCGCACTAAGGCTCGCCCTGGCCCGGCTCCCGAACGACACGTACCCTCGACGCGCACCGCCTGGCGGTTCTCGGCGGCCTGGTGATCCAGCTCCGGCTCCTCCGCGCCGCGCATGCGCAGCATCATGCGCTGCATTGTCTCGCGCATCCGCTGCACCATGTCATCCAGGGCGCGCGGGAACGGGCTGGGCGAGTCACCGCCCTCGCCTGCCGACCAGACAGCCACTTGAGATGCGGAGGCACGACGTACGCCCGGTGACAAACGAGAGAATACGTCTGCGTTACTCAAAGCGCTGTGTGGAGAACGTGCTGTATCCATCCATGAATCCGTCATCTCTGTTCGCCAGCTTTCGTACTAAAGATAGATCTCGTGACACGCGCTTGACCTAGATGCACCCTGAATACATGTTTCACAAAACCGGGGATGACCTTACGACCCTGATCAGTTTCGTCTACAAAAACAAAGCTGTGAACGGCAAAATACGATGCTGGCGACCCAAGTGCCGATGGCGGGCGTTCTTTTGCACAAGACGCCACACAAGCGAGCATGACAGCGCGCACCGCCGGTGAACGTGGGGAATTCCCCAGACCGCCTGCACGTGGTCGAGGCGCTCCAGTCACGAGCCGCCTCAGCTGCAGCCAGGAACGTCGCAGGGCGCGCCAGCCGAGCTATCGGGTGGCAACGGGCACGTGACCCTGATGCTCAGGCCGGCGACGGGTTCACGTCAACTAGCAACGGACAGGAGAGGACATGGCAATGGCTGGGAAGGTCGTCCCAGTGTCCACTCACCCAGCTGGGAGCCTGATCACGTACGTCGCAGCGACTGATGCTCATGGCCGATGGGATCCAGTAATGCGTTAGGTAGTGCGCAAGTTTCTGTTAAGCCGTGTGGGTTAATCAAAATGCGAGAGATGGCGTGTGTCGCGCAACCAAAGGTTCGCTCATCTCTCCGAATGTGAGAAATCCAAGCAGCTTGCGCCGAAATCTCCGCATAGTTCACGCGCACTTGGTGCCCTCGCGTTCGTGCCTTTAAAATGAGCCGCGTTTGGAAGCCTGGAGGCGGTGCCCGCTGATCGGTGGCCACGTCTTCTGCAGAGGAGAGGAACGGGGAGCACGCTCCAGCCGCGCCTGGACGGAACGTGACCGTGTCTAACGTCGGCGTGCCAGGACGCGTCGGCACGTACGTCCGGCGCCGGCGAGTCCGTCGGCGAACCGACTGACCGTGTCTGGAGATGATGACCTGGGCCGGGCCCTCGATGACGCGCATCTTGTCGCCGTCGTGCACCAGCACGGACGACTGCGAGCGGCGTACCTCCTGACCGTCGTCCGTGTCGTACGTGAACTTGCGCACCACCGACATCACCACCGGCGCGCCCTCCTCGTCCTGGACAGACGATGAGTCACGGTCAGGGGGGACCGATTGGCATCACCACCGGCGCGTCCCCCCCGTCTTGAACAGCAGGTGACTCACGGTCGGGGGGGACAGCTCGGCATTACCATCGGCGCGTCCTTATCGTCCTGGACATGCGGAGAGTCACGGCCAGGGGGAAACCGACAGGCAGCACCACCGGCGCGTCCTCCCCGTCTTGAACAGCCGATGACTCACGGCCAGGGGGGACGGATCGGCATCACCAACGGCGCGTCCTTATCGTCCTGGACATGCGGAGAGTCACGGTCAGGGGGAACCGGTCAGGGGAACCGATAGGCATCACCACCGGCGATGATAATCAGTCCTCTTGAAATTGACCAGAACCAGCAGGACCAGGAGCAGGAAACATGTCTGCCTGTTTGATGTTGAAATGAAATTTTGGACAAGCAGAGACGCTTCCGTTAGCATTTTAAGGTACACCGACCGGAAGGTCTTCTCACGTCTTGTGAATTTTGCACTGAGAAATCTGGGGAAATTCCATAAACAACTTCCACATCATCTTACCTGTCATACTGGTCATGGCAAAAACATGTGTTCGGTTTGCTGATTCGTAGGCAAACGCGACACGCACGCACGCACGCACGCGCAGACACACACACACACACACACACACACACACACACACACACACACACACACACCACACACACACACACACACACACACACACACACACACACACACACACACACACACACACACACACACACACACACACACACACACACACACACACACACACACACACACACACACACACACACACACACACACACACACACACACACACACACACACACCACACACACACACACCACACACACACACACACACACACACACACACACACCACACACACACACACACACAACACACACACACCACACACACACACACACACACACACACACACACACACACACACACACACACACACACACACACACACACACACACACACACACACACACACACCACACACACACACACACACACACACACACACACACACCACACACACACACACACACACACACACACACACCACACACACACACACACACACACACACACACACACCACACACACACACACACACACACACACCACACACACACACACACACACAACACACACACACACACACACACACACACACACACACACACACACACACACACACACACACCACACACACACACACACACACACACACACACACACACACACACACACACACACACACAACACACACACACACACACACACACACACACACAACCCACAGCCACACCCACACCCACACCCACACCCACACCCACGCACAAATTCAAAAACACAGTTCAAACAAATTGTCTGACGTAGCCACTGGTAAACCACGGGGTCTGGTTCCTCGCGAAACATAGGACTTCACCCAGCAATAGGTCCATAGGAGCTTGCCAAGGTCATCACTTGCCCGGCTCAGACTTGAGCCCCTTGACAGTCACGCAGAGCAGTAATTTGGCTTATCCTGCTTTTGTCGGACTGCATGTACCATGTCATTAACAGCAACAGCTGCACAGTGACACACAGCGTCTATCAGTATACTGTCGTACCCTGGCATAAGAGTATGCATAGAACTTATGCCTATGTAAACATTCCTTCAAGCAATGAAAGGAGTGTTCAGGGGTAGAACATCAAGGGTACCTGGTCCTTCCCGACAGCGCAGCGCAGCGGAATCTGTTCGTGTCCTCCGACGGTTCAGTGAGGGTCCGCGTGTGAGCGGCTGCGTGTGAACACCTGTCGATCGTTTGTCTTACATCGCGCGACCGTGCCTGCCACTTTTACCACCGCGCTTCTGTACGAAGCCGTGCACGTTCTCCACGCCAGCCCGATCCTTCGGCCGGTCACATCGGTCTGCCAGCCTGGTCCTGACGGCTGTCGTGCGCGGCTGACCACGCCCGCTGTTGGTGGGCTTCGTTTGGCAGGTGACTACGTCGGAGCACGTAGCACACGTGCTGAGTGTCCGCCGGCGGGGGTGCCTCTTCTCCGGGGGCTGTGGGGCTGGCCGTACCTGCTCTTTGGGACGCTGGTGGCGGCATCCGCTCTGGCACGAGTGCTGCTCCACCAGTATCGGGTAGGCCGTCTCACAGTCTGCCAGTCAGAATCAATACCATTGAAACATATGCACGCTGCACCGCTTTCATGAACAGGAAAGCACGATTCAATTTAGGGTTATCCGCACGTTACCATACTTCGGAAGGGCACGACGACCGATGCTTGTGCGTGCCGCTTTTTCAGCGGTTTCTTTTTTCGTGTTAGTTTGGAACATCGCTCCATCCACAGCAGAGGAACAACTTTTGGTCATAAGTGACAACGAGCGACAATGTCACGTGATGGCCACCAAGAATTAGCAACAGCACATGTCGTCTGTACCGACCTCGTCACCAGGACCAGTACGTAAGTTGGCGAGGGCAACATCCCAGCAGCGATCTATTTATGCTAACACTTCAGGGCTATTTGTTCAAGCGATATCGCCCACTAGCCAAACATTGGAGCGTCAGAACACGCCAGTAAAGCCGGCGAGCCGTGTTGACGAGCTGGAGACTCACCTTTGGTGCACTTGTCCCTGTGCTCTCCGGCGGCCAGTTTGGGCTCGGTGGCCTCGGCCAGCGCGAACAGACGGCATCCTCGCTCGCAGGCGGCCGCCGAGCCGGCCGCCGTCTCCTGCCGGGACAACCGCGGGGTCACACACCGTCAAACACGCGCCCCAGAGAGGTGCCAGCCAGCGGACCGGCGGTGCCAAACAGTCGCAGACGGTCGGACATGCCGGCACGATGACGACAGGTTCGACATGCCGTTTGAATGACAGGAGGTTCGACACGCTGCCACAATGACAGGAGGTTCGACACATCGTCACAATGACAGGTTCGACACGCCGTTTCAATGACAAGAGGTTTGACACGCCGTTTCAATGACATGACGTTCGACACGCCGCCACAATGACATGTTCGACACGCCGTTTCAATGACAGGAGGTTTGACACGCCGTTTCAATGACATGACGTTCGACACGCCGTCACAATGACAGGTTCGGCACGCTTCGACACGCTGCCGCAATGACAGGAGGCCCGACCCGCCGTCAGTCGTGCCTGGTAAATCCTGCCGGACACACCAATAGGCCACACGCTGACATCGACTGCCAGCGGACAAGTCCGGCAGAGCGCCGGCGAAGTCACGAACGATCGCCGAGTTGAACTCGCCTGGCAGATACGGGCATTTCAAAATGCATGCGCCATTCCTTTGACGAGCCCGGTATTCGACAGCAGAGGTCAAATCGAACAATGTGCTGTCCATGGGTGACAGAGGCATCTGCCAGTAACGTCATGCACCAGATGGATGCAAGAAAGTAATATGGCAAGGTCACGCGAGGGCTGCACGATGGCTGAGCGACCGCGGAGCAGACGCGGTGTCACAGACTAACTCGGACGCGGCCGACATCGACCGGTAACTTCCCGAGTCATGACCGTCGCTAGCTCCGAACCGACCCATGACATGCACCGGGAATAGAAGTGATATGCAATGCCGAGGTAAATGACGTCCACGTCCTTCGTATCCCCCAGTCCTGACCAATCAGCGATACGACTGAGCACGCCCGCTGCTCGCACGAAGCGCCTTGTCATCACGTTCACCGGCAATGTCGTGACAAACAGACCCCGTCGCGTTTTCACCATTATCACGCGATAACGACACATCGAACGCCATGGCGTTCCAAGCACCACAGCCCGGCGGCAGCGACCAAACGTCCGGCTATCTGAACCGGGCAAAGACCGCCAGCGTGAAACGTTTCCGCGTTTCGACTTTCCGACCATGACCGCCGGGCACACACGCCACAAAATGGAGAAGCGGAAGCCGGCGACCCGTGCAAGCCGTGCAGTGTGAGGAAAGTCGGCAGCACCACCTTGGCTGCAGTGGCGTGACTACGTGCCAAATCGATGTTGGCACGTCGTGTCAAGGAAACCTGGCAGCTGTTGTCAAGCCATATCGAGAGGCAAATACAACTTAATTTAAATTCATAAGCTCGTGTATGCCGCACGCGCAGTATCATGCCGTGTACCAGCGTCAGTACCACAATACCTGGGAACCACACTTTTAAATGCTTGCCTTAATTGGAACGCGGCTGCTGGCCATCATTGGTGACACACAGATACACGCACACACAACACACCGCTGCGACATCCCATGGCAAGCACTCGCCCTCCGCTCCGTGCCGTCATCCCCAGCCTGCGGGGTACTCACGAACTCTGTGCTGCATTGCTGGTAGCACTCTGCGTTGCGCTCCTCCACTTGTTGTTTGAAGTCAGGCGCGGCGGCGTCGGCCGGCTGGGTGGCGTGCACCAGCGTCAGGCTCGGCTGGTGGACCAGCGGGAGTGGCACGCCCAGACGCCGCAGAGAGAACAGCAGCTGGGCCGAGCTGGTGCCGACCAGCAGCAGCACTGCCAGGGCCAGCCTCATCGTGTCTGCCAGGCAGGGGCGCCCGTCAGACGATGGCCGGGGCCGGTACGAGGCACGGGGGCCGGACAGAGACGGGCCGCGAGTGAGGCACACGGCGGCAGGCAGGGGACGAGCCAGTCACACGGTGGACCGGCCGAGTTGCGTCGGTCATCTCCACGGGAAGGGAACGGCAGCGGGCTTGGTGGTCGGGAAGGCGATCCTGGACAGCGGAACGAATCCAATGCCAGGCGCTGAGGAGCGGGGCGTAACGAAAGGCTAAGGCAGGAGGTACCAAGCGTACCGAATATGTTGTAGAGCGAGGAGCGGATGTGCCTGTGGGATGCCGAGTGGCAGATATACAAGTGTGGACTGCGGTTACTAAAAGACTGGAAACGGAGGAAGATAGGGTGGTGGGGCACACGGGTTTAAACAGAAGCGGGGCGGGGGCTCTGCCAGGGCAGATGTGTGGGTGAGGCCCGGCCCGATACAAGGGACATGACGGCAGGAGGTAATCTGGGGCGCCCCACCGTTGCCCGCAGGCACCGTTACAGAAGATTCGCCGCCATGGCGACGACTCCGCATCACGCTTTCAGTGTTTGGCTGCTCGAAACTTTTCTTTAACTGAAGCTGAAGTGGCGAGGTAGACGTAATCACGCGTTGATCACCAGATATATAGGCAATAATGCGATAACCTCCTTCGAGACCAATCCGTCGGTGTTTTCCGCTCCACAAGCCTCCTCGTCGTTCGTCGCGCCCATACACCGGGAAAACGGCCCAGCTGGCCGGGCTGTATCGATTTTCTGCGCTGTCACGAATACAAACTTCACGTGTCGCCCAAGCAGCGCACGTCGCACTGCAGCACTGTTTCGACCGCTCCCTGATCGTCGACGCCAGAACCAGCCTCTGCTGCACTGGATATCATCACCTCCCGCTGCTCCAGAGCGGTCCGTGATTACTTCCAGTCTAGCTGCGATTGCATGTTGTCTGCGGCAGTTGCAACGCTCAATACTTGCGCGGAGGAAGTTTGCCAAATCCAAACACCGCTGACGTCTCCGAGAAACAGTTCCTGGACGGAACTTTTACCAAAGCCACTTTCCTCTCGCAAACGCAGCGCTAATGACCGCAGCAGCTAAGCGAGTCGATAAATAGCTTCCACTTGGCACCCATCTTGGCATGACACTTTGACAACCCCCCCCCCCAAAAAAAAAACAACAACGCTGCCTGGATTTGCATTTACTGACACAGCAATATCCCTCCACCAATTCCTTGACTGTTCAGCCCAATCCAAAAGCGCTCAATAGCATTGCAACTTTCATTCTTGACAAGAAAGTGCAAAGACGGTTTTCCATGATGCTGTCGCTTCTACTAACGTCAGCTATTCCCGAGTGAGAGAAGGAAGAGTCGCATCGAACAACAGATATGAACGGACTATGCCGCCCAAAGATAACTTTTAAGTTTAAAACTGAGTCTCCCTTCACTAGAGGAGAGGGTCAGAAAATATGACCAGGAAATGGGCCAAACGCGTCCCTGGCGGGGGTTTTCCTGGAACCATGGATTGAAAATGTCACGCCTTGGATATACAGCACACACATCAGTCCATGCACCAGGCTTACAATAAAACAGATATAAGATTGCCTACCTTTCAGACACGTGTATTAAGCATGTCTGGATTTGGTAAACCATTTTGACACATTTTTCGTACCTTTGGTGCCTACCAGGTAATTAAAAATGTACCCGGGTAATTTTGAGTTGTGCCCGTTATGGAAAATATTGCATACGCCCCGCCACACACCACGCACTTTTCGCAGGTTTCCTTCCTGTAGATAAATGTTGGTTTCGATGAAATGATGGAACCGACCCCTATTTTTCCCCGTAACTTTACGATCATAACTAAAATTCTGCGTCAAACCACCAGCAGGCGTCCTTTCGCACCTTTCACGCAAATCCTGCCTGGCACCCTACACCTAGCCAGTACCAGCGCGCGGACCGGAAGCCCACCGCGGTGGCAGAGACGGGTCCCAGGTTCGGACGGCGCACGTCCTGCGGCGGCGACGCGTCCGCAGCTCACCCAAGCCTGTCGCTGAGCGCCGGCCGGCTGACGCACTGCAGACGGCGCAGTCTCTCACCGGCCGCCCCACAGGCCCCGTTGACGCGGCCACATGTGACGGCGTTCGGCGCGGGCCGCTCTCACACACACGCTCCACATCGCAGATTCTACGCCAGCGTAGCAAGAACGGCTGCCGTCATCCGGCTGCGTCGAAGCACGGTGTGCATAAATATCGGACTGGGAGCAACGGCTTCCGTAGTGCTACGAGACGCTGACCAGGGAATTATGACGAGTATTCTGAGACTGGGATTGGGAGAGCGCCAGCTCTTGCATCGATACATGGGGCCGGTCGATGGTTACCAGGCGTCGTCGGGCTACCAAACAAAACCCAACGTGTGCCGAAAACATTGTGGCTTGGGGCGCTATCAACGACCGGTGTCAACCGCCAGTCAGAACAGCAATCATAAAGTGGTCCGCCACACCCTGCAACAAAACGAAAACCCAAATTGTTCTGCAAAGCACACCCTTTTATTCTCCATTGCTGCCTGCTCGGAGAAGTGCTACACAATAAGGCAAAATACCAAGTTCAAAATGCGCTGAAACATTCCTGTCTTTTAGCCCTGCCCAAGCCCAGAATCCAAAGGTCCATTCATTATTGTGTACAGGATTACAGCGATTTAGTCTTAATCTTATTATGCAGTGTCACCTACAGCACACACAGCATCCAATGTCTGCACTGGGAGTGCAAATGAACAAAACCCTTCAGCACAAGGCCAGCAACAAGTGCTGGATTGGTAATAAAACTGATCACCTTCTATAGTCATTTTCCTTGATCAGCAGTGAATCAAATCTCCTTCTTTTGATCAATCCTGGATTTTGTGGGGTAGCACTCCAAAACCCTAGCCATCCATGAGCAATCCTGTTGCCAGATAACTACTCCAGTCATATGTATGACCACAGTCTGTGTATTTAGCTCTGTTATAAAAATGACAGTTCTGGACCCTTTTTAGGGTTTTGGTGATATGCATTTTGTGTGCAGTCTTAACCTGTGCCAAAGAACAACTTTACAGAGCTATGGCACTTTTGTTGCTCAACACAGATGGAACAGAAACCAGTTGGCTTTCATGGTGCACAGCAATACAGAAAATACCTTGAATATCCAAGACATACCAAGACTGTCATAAAATGGCAATCTTTTTCATCAAACAGCACAATGCTATTCCTCCATGTCTCACATTGCTGTCTTTGTATCTTACTCCTGTCACCTCCATCCTAGTGCTTCTACTTGGGTAAACATATTCCATATAGCCCTATTCACTTACCACTTGTGATTGGTAGATAATAGCTACCTACATCTAAGAAGAAATCATCATCCACTATGCTGAATTTTAAGATGACTTCTTCAAAAAATAAAAATTTCAGATATTGCTGGGGGCACTACTCATTCAAATTACCATTGAATCACATGTTCTTGAAAAACATTGTCTACAAATGTATATAGTGTATATATATATATATATATATATATATATATATACTACTCAAGACTGCAAAAAATACACATCAAGCAGAGCATGTCCAGCATAGCAGCAGCACCACAGCAATTTCAGTATGTGTGCAGCAAATAATTTGGGTGCCCGAAGTTTGAGGCACCATTACCACCAATTTCAGGACAGAGAGCCAATGCTTTACACCATTATGATGCTATAAAGGTAATTTCAGGGAATATTTGGAAATTCATCCAAATTTGGCTTGACCTGAGTTTGGTGTACATCAGTTCATGGTTCAGGTAACTTATGTTGGGTGAGCATCTGACTCAAAGGATGGATTTTTTGCAAACTAGACCTGTGGCACCACATTGGTCAGCATAATGCTGCACCAACAGTCATAGATGACAACATCTGAAGACAACAGAAGGCAGTCTGATGACATACTTTGCTTTTTGGGGGCATGTTTGGAGCAACCTAGAAGATAGCTGACTTGGGAAGATTGTTATAATGGAACAGTGACATCTTGAAAGAACTGAAGAAATTATACCAAATTTTCGGACAACCCAACACTTGCCAAATTCACAGTTTCTTTGAAACAACTGATCTTATTTGACCTCGCAATCAGAGGCAAGCAGCTAGCATGAAACGAATCGCTACCTGCGAAACAAAGCCATAACCGACTCCATAATGCGATATTAGTACCGTGATCTATGATACCCTAATCAGAGCCGTGGTACAGTTAATATACAAAAATCACAAACCCTTTATGCTTAGAAGGCACTCACCAAATCGTATTGCTGTACTCAATCGAAGACAGCCAACCCCCTGTCATCCACACGAATCACACAAACCACAATGTCGGCGGGGGGCGGTCAGCTGCTGCGCCAATATCATAACGCGAGAGTGCTGCCAGATCAATATACACCGAAGCAGTCCGCGAGACAAAGATCCGAGCCTCTTATCCTGTTTTCTTGCTTTATCTTTAAACCTGGCAGCATCCCGCTTATGTCGGACGTGGCTGCACGCGTCAGCCACGAGTGGACCGAAAGGCCCCCTGGGAAGAGGGGCCGACTGGGCGCCCAGCGCACACCCAGAGGAGTCCCAGCGCGGTCTAAAGCTCGGCGGATGTCCCCCCAGGCGCATGCAGCGCCTCCCCACCGCTAGCCGTTCTTCATTCCGTAGGCCTGAGATGATCATTTCTGGTCGAAAGGGTCCTTATTCAAACAACCAAACCAAGCAAATCGACACGACATCGTAGCATTCCACGGAAGTGCACAGTCAGGACAGTGTGTGGTCGAGTAAGTGCATAGCGATAGGCGTCGAGGCAAGGGGAAGCAAAGGCGGGTATGGAGATAGCAAAGTGAGGGGTCGCATGTCTCACCGGCTACCACGTTTTAAAAGTGAAGGCATTTTGGCGATAATGGTGACGCACGCAAGGAAGTGACACGAAAGTTGAGCATGTTTCCTTCTTAAGAGGAAAGCAGAGGCCAAGGGGCCGTACCTCCACCCCAAGGTCGTGAAACCATGCCATCCCCCCTCGACCTCTAAACGGCCGGACGTATGCTGTTGTGAGCATGCTACGTCATATTCAACGATTAATTGCATAGGTTTCTCGTTTTTCTACTATTTCGCCACTCAACTGTATCAACCGTCCACGCACGAACGCAGTGTAGGACGGTTGCGGGTCTTAAATGAGTAGTTTATTTGCTGGTGGATGGTTATCCCGTCAACGCACTGGCAGCTCGAAAAGTGCCCTAATCCGCTTTTCTATTGACTGGATCCCCAGTGAGCCGTTAACTTCATCACGCCCAGCCTTCTGGTCACAGAATGTCCTGCTCCCCGCACACAGCTGTTCCATGCGCGACACGGCGGCCCGATCCCAAGCCATCACCCTGGGATCATGTGTTATATGGACAAGGACAAAAATATCACTCAGTCCACAGGATGGCGCCACCAAATCTGCCGAGGTGGCAGCACTGAGCAAGTGATGAGAAAAGGACCAGGCCATATCATCATAGAGGTGGCGACACGCATTTTCACCCATGCAAGGTGGACGAAGGTTTTGTCATCGGTCCTAACTCCGAAGAGGTTCGCTTAGGTGAGCCTAATTAATTTTCGTTGAGGAGAAACACAGTCATGGAGGTTAAGTGCGTTATGCCTTCGCTGACATCAGTTACCTATTTTGATTTACTTAAGCATCTTGTCATAGCACCAAGCGCTGCTCGCACCAGAGCAACAGGAACTATTTGCACGCGTGCATATCTCGGACAACCAGTCAGTTATTGCGCTGAATGAAGACAAAGGAGGTGCGGCCGCCCTCTGTAGGGCATATACACATATATGTTATACACGCTTGTCTTTACCTTTTCTGACAAATGTTATGTTTTCAAATAACCGGACCAGTAGCAAAACCAAGCGAGGGAAAGTTTGGTGTCCCGTCCAACCCCTCCCCTTCCCCCGAGAGGTGGCGGGGCCCCAGCTAGGGCCGAAGGTTTTAATGTTTTTTATATGATGAGGCGCTCTTAGGGCTTTGATAACATCTCAAACACGCCCTCGAAACGTCAAAATGGTCCCTTAAGCCCAAAATGGCCTCCAAATAAAAACAGGGCCCCTATGGCGACAAAGCTGGACCTACTGCCTGCAGCCACTTTGGTGCCCAGTTTCGGCTCCCTCTTGGAGACATCCAGGCTATGCCACTGACACAGCACAGAGCGAAGTACAATTGCCCCCGCTGTGAACGTTGCAAAGTCCCCCCATCCCAGTTGCATTATATCACTGATGTGCGCGCATGGCGGCGAAAGCGGTTGCCCACCGCTCCGATACCGTGTTCAGATGGGGGACGAAAGACGCGTCTTCTTTTCTCCACGCGGCAACCAGCTGCCTAGAAACAGGTGCCGGAACGAGCCCGCTCTATCTGCTACTGCTCCAACATTCCAGCCGTATGATGGCTGCGAGCCTTACAGCGGGCTTGTGTTGTGATAGCGGCAGGATTGTCTGCCAGCAGCCGGGCGCACCTGAACATAACCAGACCAACACGCCATGGCGTCACCGCGACCTCCAAATAACACAGCGACGAGCCTCGTCGGTCGGGGTCGCCGCCAAACACGCTCCGCCAGCCACGCGCCGCGATGGAACAGCGCCTCGGCGCAGTGTGTTTAGTCTCCGTCTCGCCGCTCCAGACAGCCGGGTTCGCCGGCCGGCGGCCAGTCTCCGTCGATCCAGCGAACAGGTTCAGCGCGGTGTCGGCTTCCTGTAACACGTGAACTGGAAATGAAAATCCCCTTATCTGTGCTGTGCAATCCCCTCCCCCGCCCCGTCCCCAGGCTGAGTGGAAAATTGTTCCAGTGAAAGGGGCTTGCAATGAAATAGTCTCGTGACGTTGCGTACAAGCTTGCATTTGGCTCGTTATCTATATGTAATAAATCCCCAGTGACAGTCCGTAAGAGAATGCTTTGTTGGACGTTTAAGGCGGTTCCACAATGTTGGGCATTTAAGAGGGCCGGCGGCGTTTTTCTGTGTGGTGACCTCGGTGTCGTTGTCGCTGACGACTGAAGTCATTGTCTTGGACCATATAAAGTTGCATCACCATAAAAGGGTGTGAGGGTGCCATGTTTCCGGATAGGCCTGCTTGATTGTACACCGCCGCGCTAATCATACCTTTGCTCGATGCAGCCACAAGCATTCAATAGCGTCGCAAGGACTTTTTGGGCCACGCCCCCCACCCCCACCTCCACCTCCCGCACCGTGGAGGTGGCGGGATCCCTCTGGGCCCAAAGGCTTAGGTGCTTTCTGGCCGTTTAAGAACAGACCATAAAAATGGGCACTCGAGGCAACAAAGTGGCATACCGAGCCTAAAAGGCTTCCCTTAATAAAAGCAGGGTCCTTCAAGCGACGAAGTGGGGTCTCTGTCTGCCAGAGTGCCCCTCATGCCCAGATTTGGCCCGTCCTGAGCGAAATCCTGGCCACGTCACATCCGTCGTGTTATTACACTGTGCCTTTCCGTGCGGCTGTTCGACGGATACGGGGGACAGTTGCCCTCACAGTGCACAGCGTCCATGCAGTGAAGCGGAGTGCGGCGGGCCGAGTTTTATCGCTCTCCCGCCCTAAGCCCGCCATAAACGGCGTCCAGGTCTGCTTGCAGCCTGTATCACGCAGCGGACGAGGGGTGTGGAACCGTTCATGCGAAAGGCGCTGCGGCATGAGGTGGGGCTTGCAGCCAGCAGCAGAGCCGGTGCAGTGGAGCCGCCGCCGCTCTTTGGCCGGCCCTGTTCGGCGCTCGGGTCCGGCCAGAAACGTGATGCGACACCCCGGTGTCACCGCCGCGCGGTCAGCGCCCGTCGCGTCGAGACAGGCTCGGGCGGCGGCACCGCCGGACGCCTGGGGGCGCCCGCCCCCGCGTCAGGCGACCGGCGCGGGGGCGGGCTCCAGCGCTGACGAGATGCCGCGGTCAGGTGGTCTGTATCCGATAGCACGGCTGCTCTAGACGCACCAGACGAAGCCAGTACAGGCGCTCTTGAAAGCGTATGACTTCTGAAGCAGCCGCGGCAGCCGAGCCTCCTTGTTTGGGAGCGCGCGGCACCGGGGCGCCCACCGACCGCGTTATAAACGGTCGGCGGGGCGACCGTTTGTTGCTCCAGACCGAGCGGTCCGCAGGGGTGGGGCGGGGGAGAGGGGGGGGGGGGGGAGGCGACAGGCGGCAGGCGGGGCGTCTCAGTCCTCCGCCGACCTCAGACGGAGCCGCACGTGGCAAGACTGACGACCGGCTCCTCGGCCCGCACGAGCTGCGTGAGGGTCACGTCGGCGATACGTGAGGTGCACCTGACTCTGGTGCGCTCGATCCCAGACCAACATCCGGCGGTACACGGCAGGTGAGGAATCGCCCCGGGCCTTGGGCATCGGTCTTATGTTGAGGGTTCCTGGCACCCAAGCCCCAATCTCTCTTGGAGATATCTGTAAAATTATCTGCGCGATATGCCGGGAGTGATGTTGTGCCAAAATGCCACAGCGCAGCTGTCGAAACAATGGTAACACAAACAAATTAGCTGTCATAACATTACATGGCGGAAAGTCAGCCGTGACTACGAAAATGTACTCTCCGCCACAATCTATTAACATCCCCGGAAAACGTTACCAGACGCTTTGCAACTCGCTCCCTCTTCCATGCATTGCACTGTCTCGGGCCTCGGTCGCAGCATCGGCAATGTGAGAGGCGTCTCGTCAGTCCTGGGGGTACACTATGACGGTACCGCGCCGCGGCACTCCGTGCCAGGCTGCAGCAGGCAAGGTGCAGCGCGAGCGGACGTGCCTCAGTCCTGGGAGTACACTATGCCGGTACCGCGCCGCGGCACTCCGTGCCAGGCTGCAGCAGGCAAGGTGCAGCGCAGGCAGACTCAGTCCTGGGAGTACACTATGCCGGTACCGCGCCGCGGCACTCCGTGCCAGGCTGCAGCAGGCAAGGTGCAGCGCAGGCAGACTCAGTCCTGGGAGTACACCATGCCGGTACCGCGCCGCGGCACTCCGTGCCAGGCTGCAGCAGGCAAGGTGCAGCGCGAGCGGACGTGCCGACCCTGACACCTGCGGCAGCGCTGAGGGGTGGGCAAGGAACGATCTGGAACGGCAGTGTGGCATGTCCGTCTAGCACGTGAGGCATCAGTGTTTTATGTGCGAGTGAAATATCTATAGATTTGGCTGCTCGTAACTGAGCTCGCGAGATGCCGCCGTTTTAGCACGGGTGGGCACTGCAGAGCATTAGCATAGCTGACGGCATGTTTCGCATGATCTTACCGCGCGTGGGACATATATTGGATGTTACTTTACATGGTGAAGCGATGACAACCTTGAGCACCGGACGTCCCACCGTCACCTCATCATTTCTCCGTTCCACGCGTTTTCCGGATGACTTATGGATGCCTTCTGGATGAGAGAGAGAGAGAGAGAGAGAGAGAGAGAGAGAGAGAGAGAGAGAGAGAGAGAGAGATAGAGAGAGAGAGAGAGGGAGAGAGATGAGAGAGATGAGATAGAGAGAGATAGAGACCGAGAGAGAGGAGAGATAGAGAGAGAGAGAGAGGAGAGAGAGAGAAGAAGAGAGAGAGAGAGAGAGAGAGAGAGAGAGAGAGAGAGAGAGAGAGAGAGAGAGAGAGAGAGAGATAGAGAGAGAGAGGATAGAGAGAGAGAGTTTTTAGGGCCAGGAAAACGTCCAAAAGTCGCAGCGTCCAGTATTAAATTATTCATCCAAGATCGCGTCATGGTTTGACGTAAATCAAACCACGACGCATTGAGAAGCAGTGTTTACAAAACGAACATGTGTGCTGTCTAGAGCAGCCTTTCCCACATAAAGCATACTAAGAAGTTATAAAGAAGGCTTGCTCCATCATATTTGGTGCTTGCCTTAATATCCCCACCGTGAAACATTCCACTGAAATCTTATTTTGTCTTCATCTCGACCTAATGAAAGCGTAGCGTCGACTTTTAGTCAGCTGTCCCTCGGCACGCAGATTCAGCTGTGAGTACGTCGTAGAGCATGTCCCGCACGCCATTCAGACAGACATTGGTCGGCTATTGGGACGCGTATTAGCCTCAGCTGCGCGGTCATACAGCACCCATTGACGCGGCGAGGCCACCACTGAGGTCGGTATGGTCCGAGCCCCTTTAACTTGTCGGCACATTGAATGGTTTCTGTGTTTTGGCCTTATGAAATGGCATCAAAACAGACATGGACCCCACTGAGGGATTCCTTCGTCACGAGAAAACCTGTCAGCGGTCGTTCATGGTAGTGCATGTGGCACCACGCAGACACGGCTTGTCAGGAAAGACCATTACGTATTGCGCTGTACCTACGATATAAAAAATTCAGAGTTCTTACGCTGAGTTATCCACCTTTAATATACGAGGAGATAGTAGTTAAACGACGGGAGGGCGAAGGTTAATTATACTGACAATCTTGGCGTTTCAAGGTGTACTTGGTCACGAGTGACTCGTGACCACGAATCACTCATGATAAGAACACGCCCAGCATGCCTCTCGAACTGAGCTTATGATCGCGAGTCACTCGTGATAAGAACACGCTCAGCATAAGAATTCCGAACCCATAATGCCGGAAGATCAGGAACGGAAAGACTGCCTATATCAAGGTCCCACGAGACGTTGATTTATCGGATACTTCCATGGTCTCCGATAGCTATCTGAATATTTTGCTTCATTCCTGGGAGTTCCTTGTCCATTGAGAGTGCGGTAAATGCAGATTTTTGGAGCCCGCGATGCATTCAGCACTTCATTTATGGAACCTGTTTCTGTTACATCTTACCTGGCTCCAAAGCAGCCCCCTCTGTACGATGGGAAAACGATGATGGGTTGTGCGATTAAAGTTGCCGTAAGTAAGGATAAAAGCATAATGCATGTTTAACAAGCCTATCACTCCCATATGACAAGTAGCTGATGCGATGATATTTCGAACGGCGATAATGTCCTACTGTGCTTAAACCGCAAGGTTTCTTTTTATCGCGGCATCATAGTATATTCATGCGTTCCTAGCGGGTATAGCAATGATAATTGTTTTGTGTATAATGCTAGTGCGCAACCGGGAGGATCATTTGAACAGGTTAGCAAAATTTCCAGCCGAACAAGGTCGACGTCCTGTAATGGCATAAGCTGTTCGTTTCTAGACGACTTACTACCATTGGAGTTGCTTCGGATCACAGTTCCGTGCCTGTTCTACCACAAACTGCCGTTTTTGTTTTTGCTGCTGACTGCTGTATCTTGCTGACACCGTGTTCTGAGGCCTGAAGGCTACCTGAATAGAAGTCACCGGTTAGCCACGATGTGTCATACGTAACCATCTAGCGATCCTTTGGCATGCATTATGCATGGTATGCTTCGGATACCTAAGAGCAAGACTGTGTCAATACGAATTACTGACAACGTTCGCTATGTCGCTATGGTTGTTGTACGATACATCTTGTATCCGTGGCCGACAGCGGCCAGCCCCGTCTCCCAGTAAACCTGCCGCGCTTGCAAAGCTCTCTTGGTAAAGTGCTGTGGCGACAGTGACTGACTCGGGGTGGAAGTGGGGCACTCGTTTCAAGGGAAAGGGTCCTTCGTCACAGTCACGCAGTCGAATCTCGCATATATCTTCCCGATTGGCAGCTGGTAAAGTAAACGGAAGAATCCATGCGCCCAGCTCTGGCGCGGCGGAGCTCGCGAGCCGAGGAGAGCTGCACGGTCTCCTGGTCCGAGTGCTGACAAGCCAGGGATGCATACGCCACCACGCCGAATCTCAACGAGCCGCTATTGTCGTCTTCATTGTAGCCCATTACTTCACGCCAGCCTCGCGTGACGGCATCTGGCTTTCACCACTTTGGCAGTCGGCGGGCTCGCTTGACCTCGCCAGCAGCCACGTCTGTTGAGCTTGCCTGCAGATGTGTCCTTCCTAAACACCCAATTATAATTCTAGTGGGTGTTGCTTTTCCCTCCCGAGACCGCACAATAATGCAGACCGGTGACCTACCGACCAAGAGCTGACTGAGATTGGTTGCTGCCAGCTTCCATCACGTGACTGTGTCAGCTCCCACTAGGTGCCCGTGCAGGTCCTCGCCAGGTGACTGTCAGCTCCCCCCCCCCCCCCGGGTATATGTGTCAGTTCTCACCAGGCACCAGACAGCCGCCATGTGGCTGTGCCAGCTCCGTCCATGTGTCCGTCAGCTCGGACTGACCCAGCGCGCCGCCGATCAGCGGCGGCCCGCTGGCAGCTGTGTCCGCTCGCCGTAACAGCCGGTCAGACGGCCGGGCCGACCAACTCGGGACGGGCGCCGTATCGGCTGGGCCCGGCCCACCAGCCGAGCCAAGCCTGCCAGCCGGCCCATCAGACGTACCGGCTGGTCCCGGCCCATCAGCCGAGCCAAGCCTGCCAGCCGGCCCGGTAGCAAAACGGCCGTCGGCCTAGAGACAACGGCTCCTCCGGCCGAAGCGGATGTAAACAAGGCGACAAATCGGGCCCGCTGTAACTCGAAGGTGGTCGAAAGTCTCGTCCTGCCTCTTCAGGTGAACAGAGCGCGTCTTCCGAACATCTCGTGAGCGCCTGACAGGCCCTATGAGCGTTATGTAGCGAGATCAAGCATCCGGACTGGCAGGGAGTCAAACAGCTACTAACAGCCCAACCGACGAATAACCTTGGAACGTTTGAAACGCCGGCTCCCGATAGCTGATGTGGTAGTCGCTAAGGAAAGTTATCAGTTAGCGCCGGATGTGCAGATTGCTAGCGAATTTCAAAGTACTGTGACATTAACCAAGTGTGTGAAATCACATTCAGTTCGGGGCTCCAGGCGATTTGCAATAATCTGCGGGTAGGCTTAACCAAGTTATCATCGAGACCCCAACTTGCAGCTGAGTTCTTTCACTCAGTAAGCTCTCCCAACCTACGGCATATCCATGAGGAAATTCTAAAAAATGCCAGAGCTGGACAGGCAATAATCAATATTACGTGAACGGACTTTTACATAACTTTTTCTTCCTCTCTCACGCAAGGTTTCAACAAACTGTAACCACTCTCAGCAAAACTTCAAAAGTGATGAGAAAAATACTAGTAAAATCTCTGAACACGTCAAAGACAGTACATCTGAGTTATCCCTCAAAATGTTTCAAACGATGGGATAAAGTGGTCAGGAACCCTGAAAAAACCGGCACATGGGTTATCCTAATTAAAATGATGCCAACTAGGCTTTGTAGACCCCGCTCAGCATGGTTGTGTGAAATTATACTTCTGATTGCCTCTGTCTAATGATTTAATATTTTAAGCTGCAAGCAACAATGGTTCTCCGCATAGAGTCTCAACCCTGTGGCGGCTGCCGCACGGGAGACAAAGAGTGCAATGCCG